AAAAATACATGGTCTAGGCATAATGCTAGATTTCTTCAAGTCATAAATTTTCTTGCTTAATCGGATGCAAAATTCTAACCTACAAATCATGTCATTTTGGTTTCTTTTATGCTTCTTGGTGTACTGAAGGGTAGGTTTGCATTTTTTTCAAACTTTTTATCCCTGTGAGAGATCTTTGTTAGCTATCCTTCAAAAATCAGACACGTGTTCAATGCCAGGAATATGGATTAATTCTGACATTTGCATTTACATTTTCAAATCTTTACATGACCCTCTATTGCAATTAATCTTTGTACAGCCGTGCCGCTTCTGTGTGGGGGTAGGGTTTGATGTGAGCTTGAGTGTAGGCGTGTGAGTGGGGGGATGTAAAGCAGTCAGCTAGGTGAGGCCTGATTCGTTTCTTTTAAGGTGTTTTTTTCCTGTGTTTTAGACCGACAGTTTCTGAAAAATAACATTATTCACTTGTTTTTTTCTTGTAAAACTGCACTTATTTATTTTTGCCAGCAAGGAAGTGCAGCTGAGGTACTTTGGCTGACATTCGGTGACAAACACGGTGCTGCGTCTGCTACCGCTAGGCTTGCTGAGGCTTTGACGAGGGTTATGAATAATTAGTAGTATTTCAGAAGCGATGATTGTTCCTCTCTTCTTTCTAATTTAGGTGTTGAAACAGAGCCCTGAACACCCCATTGTCACTGTTCATCCCTCACTCTGCCTGGTTCCTGTCCCTGGGAAGGAGAAGAATCTGGGGCCAGACCCACTTCTGCATTGGAGCTGTGTTGCCCTGAGCCCCTTGATTTTGAGATTTCAGTTACTGGAAATGAGTTTTTGTAGCACTTTGTCCTTCAGAGGCAGAAGTGACCATACAAGTGTTGACAGTGAGTTTGCAGTGACCTTGGGGCTCAATTCTGGAAGAGCGTACATGCATCATGTTGGCCCTTCAGTAACCTAAAAGAGTATATGTATTTTGAAGGTACTTAAGCCGCTAGCTATTTTGATAAAGAAATAACTGAGAGTCTTTCTCCAGTACCTCTGTGAGTTGGAGGATTTTGAAAGGCTATACTAAATAATTTTTGAAGCTAGGCCAATAACTTGGGTGAAGAATAAGTTATGTTGTCGTAAAGCATCGTGTCCCAGTAGCAAGATATCAAATGATGGGAAATTCTGGCTCTTCTGTGGTTGTGCCACAGAATACCTTCCTTCCCTGTTGAATATTTGCAGTCTCCTTTTTCTGACATCAGCTCCCAGCTTTGAGGCCTCAATTTGCTTTTCTCAGCTAGATTTAAGAGCCTTCTTATTCCATCTTTTCCCTGCCCGGCTTTTTATGGACCGCCAACTTGTCTTTTAATCTTGCCTTCGGGAAAAAAACAGATGTAATTCAACTCCTTTCAGCATTTGCTCTATTGAGACTATTCATGAAGGATGAGCTGGCTCTTAGGAGGACCGTATGGAAGAAGCAGATATCCATGGTGATGGGCACCTATGTAAATATGTGGACTGACAGCTCCAGTAAACGGTCTCTTGCAGAGCCCTGGCAGGTCCATTCATCACGCGACCTGTACAGCAAGTGCTTTCAGACATGCAAAGTAAACAAACAGGGCAAAGAGAGAGGAGAAAAAAATAATGTTTGTGTGTAATCCCTTTTTTGTTTCAAGAGCCTCTTGGATTTCTTGAGGCTACAGTAAATACGCAATTCTTAGATAATTTTGGAGTTGGCTGTATGATTTTTAAGAGGTCTGCTGAAAGATATGCAGCAAATCAGTGGGGAGGCAGGAATAAAACTGTGATTTGCCCAGTATTGGTCCAGTTTAGCAGCCACCAAGTTCGCACTGCTTTAGTTTTTGTTTGGCTTAGCCCATCATAATGCAGCATCTCAATATGCCACTTGCAGGAGCAGTGTAAAAATGTTGTCCCCTTGTTTTCCTGGAGAAAAGGAGAAAACAAACCTCGAAGAGAAAAAAAGCCAGTGACCTTTGTGTTGCTGGCATGCCGCCAGGAGCCGAAGGGCTGCTCTCAATTTGCATGTCAACGTGCACAGGGTTTTAATGGGGGGCTAGCACTGTGATTTTCCGTGTCTGGTGCGGGCAGGGGTGTCGGCAGGGGCACAGCGGCAACATGCTGTGGCGGCAACACGCTGTGGTGCCGCGCGGCGCCTCGCGCCAGCCCCGTTAAGCGCTGGCCCAGTCCTTCACAGAGGCGCAAAACCCGCCGTTTCCAATCATTTGTTCAACGCGGGCATAATTACCTTGCTTGCTACTTTCTAATTAGCAGGCGGCTTGGGAAAGCCTACCACAAAATCTGGCAAGGAAGGACCTCAAAGCTGTACCAAAGGCCTCCTTTGCGTTCCTCTGTGCCCGAAAACAAGAGTCTGTGCTTCGTCTGGCTCTTGGTGTCTGATAATAGCCATGATCTCTAAAGCAAATAAGGTCTTTACTGAACTTGTGACAATCTTAGAATCATTGTTATAGAATCATGATGGTTGGAAAAGACCTTCAAGATCATCAAGTCCAGCTGTCTTCTGCAGGGGTGTTCTCTATCTTTGATACTATCTACTCAGATGAACTAAAGTAGCCCAGGGCCTACCAGGGGGAATATTTTGTAGCTCCTGATATCAGCACCATCAGCCTTTTTACTTTCATACCATAATGATGGAGAAACCTGTTGCTAAGTAAACATTCTGGGTTAACACTCCATTGGGATGAAAATTGACATTTCTTTGAGAGGTATGATCCACAGGGATGTGGAAGGATTGGTTAAAATTTGGGGAGCTTTTGTGTCCTCGTGGATCCTTTTTTTTTTTTTTTTTTTTTTTTTTTTTTTTTTTTTTAAATCTAAAGCATTTTCTTCTTAAAGCTGGCTAATAATGGTCTCCGCTAAGGAAACCTAGAAGTGCACAAAGGACTTCTGTATTTATGAAGCAGCTGTGTCATGACAGGCGAAATGTCAAGACATATTGAGCAAAAGGAATTATTCTGTAGCCAGGACTTTTTAATAAATTAGAAGTAACAGGAAGAAGCCAGCGTAGCAGAGTCATTGGCAGCTGCTAGCACTTGTTTCCTTCTGAAACAAGCGAGCCTTTCCTTCTGAAATGCATATATGCAAGATAAATGCTGCCAGGAGTCGTAAAAGAAAGGAATGACTCATAAGATATATTTATTAGCAGCTCAATATTGGTGAATCCAGCTTCATAAACACTGGTTAATCTGCTAGAACGCTCCTTGCCCTCAGTAGCCGGGGGAGGCAGGGGGAACACACTCATTTCAATTCCTGTTTAAAGATCTAAAATAACTTTTGCCTTCTGAATAAATCAACATCTCCAAGAACACCATTATTCATCTTTTTGCCTCTTCCTTACTGGCATAGACTTATTTATTTATTTCCACGGAGTGTCATTTATTATGGACTCTTCTGGACTCTCCTCATCCCTGGGATGTAATTTCTTTGCTGGACTTGTAGGCATTTTCATCACAGTTCACTACATATTTCACCCGTGTTGCTGCAGAAAGCCATTATGGAGTACAGCCTGCTGACAAGGATATTTAGACCACCTCTGCCCTTGTCCTGCAGTGCTGCTCACCTTTGGTAGGTGAACAATATATATGATCTCCTAAACTGAGGTGACTAAAGCTCACCCTATGTGGCCCATGCAATCCATGGAAGTGTCTATGGAAAGAAACATCCTAAGAGAGGTATCCAAGACAGATAAGATGAATCATCTGGAGACTGCCTGTTCGTCTCTGGTAATTCAGGATTAGATCAATTCTGTTGTAAAATGTTTGGTCCAGTTTGCACCCAGACTGTTCATGTCATTAGGGATTGGAGAGCTCTACTAGGACATCACATCTATTTCTTTTGCTGAAGTCTCATGAGTGTAATTTTCCTGGCTGCTCTTGGAGAACAAGTAGTAGACTCACTAGTCTGCTTCTAAAACAAAGTCTGACTGATGGTATCATTATATGAGCTGGATTTTAATCATAGCTTGTCTGTTGGTGTGCAAGACTGGGGCTGCACAAAAACGCAAATAAATTACTTCTGAACTTCTCATACCTCATTAGGAAAGATTCCTGATCAGACTGGGGAGCAGGATTGCTTCTTGGCAGCCCATGCTCTGACCCCTGCAGCAGAGGGTGTGAGCTGAGCCCATGCTTTCCCTTGATGGCTCCTAATGTGTGAAACACCTTTCACGTGCAAGTCTGGCTTCTGTTGTGCTGCTACAATTTAATTTTATCTTTTTTTATTTTTTAAAAGAAAGCACTTTTCACCTTATTAGCATGGATCTTAAAGTGCCTTTTTCCTGAATGAGGAATTGATGCATTGCTCCAAGTAGTGGCAAGCACATGTGAGCCTAACTTCACCTTTCTGATGTTACGATCTTGCACTGGGGCTTCTTTACTAACTTCTCACTCTTAACAGGACTTGCTTGTCTGCCAACTGTCACTTTTAGGATATTTCAAGCTTGAGATACATTATTTAATGTGTTATCCAGATTTAATGCTGGATTAGGAGAGGAAAACATTCTTGACATATGTGTCCCAGAGATTGTGGGGAAGCCTATTTACGAATGTCGATGCTGCCATGACCTGTCTGTGTTGATCCAGGTGCATTTGGTTCTCTCTATTTACCATCAGTGCCCAAGTCAGAGAAGGTTTTGACAGTGCAAATATAAGCAGGTCTCTGTGCCAGGAGGTGTTGTTGATATAAGGGTGTTTACTAAAGCCTCTGTGGTTTTGGTGTTCATTTCAGGAGGAGGATGGATTTCTAACTCACTTTAGGCAGAAATGAAGGTGGCTGGAGGTCTGTCATGTACTATGCAGGCAGGTACATGTGCAGGCAGGTAGCTCCACAGCCTGACGAGGCCATTGCATGTACATATATACATATATTTTTTTATCAGGTTGGAGTAGTTAATTCTGAATGTATTTCTGCAGTGTGCTACAGTCAAATCCTACATGGTTTTTCATTGTTCCTCGTCCTGAGATTTTCTGCTTGCTGTTTTCCTGCAGGAGTTATCTACACGGCAGATATTCTTGACCGAGAGACAACCAAATCCTACTGGCTGGCAGTGTATGCCACGGACCATGGTGTCGTCCCTCTCTACGCTACCATTGAAGTCTACATTGAGGTGGAGGATGTGAATGACAACGCGCCTCTGACCTCTGAACCTATCTATTACCCAACGGTCATGGAGAACTCCCCAAAGGATGTATCTGTCATCCAGATCCAAGCCCAGGATCCTGACTCCAGCACGAATGAAAAGCTGACTTACCGGATTACAAGCGGAAATCCTCAGAACTTCTTTGTAATCAACTCCAAAACAGGTAAAGCAAATGCCACCATTTTACAGCAATGAGCAAATGAGACTTAAATGTTCAACATCTTGCTCCCTTTCAGGATCCTCTAACACTGCATTGCTTTGCAAACATGATTTTCCTTATTAGTTATGAGTTATGAGTTATGGGTTATGAGTTCCTCAATGAGTGCATTGGCAGAGGAAGATGCTTCCCCTGTGCTTTTATGGGTCATTTCTGTGTAGATCACAGGCTGATTCCTGGTGCTGCCTCTCTGCTGCGCCCGCAGGGATGAGGCTTTGCTGTGCTGAGCGTGCAGAGCGCTCTGGGAAGTAGATCCAAGCTGTTGCAGTTTGTAATCCTTTGTAATTTGGTGTCACACCGCTCGGTGAGTGGCACTACAGCTGTCAAGCACATATCGTTTGGCTCTGAAGAACAGTAACTGGGGGTAATTCTGCAGCCTCTTTTATATGAAAAGACAGTTGAGATGATCTAATAGTCCCTGCAGCCTTTAAAAAAATCAATGAATTTACATTGATTGCTAACAGCTGGGGATGTAGCTTGTGTGTGCAGTGTTGCAGAGAGGCTTCTGCACGCCTGGTGGTTGTGTTCAGGTCTCTTCCCAGCCAGTCTGTGAGCAGGTCCCGGGGAGCAGAGCGGTGCAGGGTGACTCCAGGGCATCTCTGTGCCCTTAATGGCTTTGATGAACTAGGAGTTTTGGTTGCTACTCTTCTGGGGGGCAGATGAAGAAGCTTAAATCCGGTGTCATGGACACTGTGCTCCAGGCAGTGCTCCCTGCAGCATTTACCTGGCATGTACCTTATCCCTTGTCTGCCTGCTGAACCTCCTCGCCTCCATGGGGACCCTGAGACATGCTGGAGCTAAAGGGTCAATGAAGGGTTTCACAGGAACAGGCTGATTTTTGTCAAAATACTTCAGAGGATTCGTGCTCTTGCCATGCTTGTTGTAATGGGAGATTTTGGGCTTTACTCCAGGACTTTCAGAAAGAGGTTTGCTGGCAGTTTCTACAAACCGGAGTAGTGTTTTGGTAGAGGATATTTTTTGTTGGTGTTCTTAGGTATTTATTTATGTGTTATATCTGCTGAAAATGTGAAAACCCAAGAAGGAACGGTTTTAATTTGGGGTAGGAAAGAGATACTCAATAAGTAGCTTTTCAACATTTGGCTGAGCACTCCCTTCACAGTACGTGACATAAGAAGGGGTAGGGATCTTCACAGCCATAAGCCCAGGTAAAGGAAGGGTTGAGCACGTGTAATCCCTTTGTTCAATCTGCCGAGCCCTTAGGCACAAATCTCACTTGCTTTAAGCACTTGCAGCAGCCAGAGATACCTCTTCCATCTGCATCCCCTTCCTCCCACATCCCGCCCCATTGATCCCGTATGGGCAGAGCGGCGGAGCTGGGCTCTGCGGTGTGTTGCTCTGCGCCCCACAGCCGGGCACCTCGGGTCGAGGGGTGTTGGGGCTCCTGGGTCCCTGCGTCGCAGCGCAGCGGGGAGGCAGAATACTTTGCCCTAAGAAGGACATCTTCATTCCCTTCGATTGCCGTTAACTCCACGGATTGCTCATCTTCACTTTACCCTGAGAAAATTGCTGCCAGAGAACTTAACTTAAAGGCTTCTCAATGATTCGTGTTGCTCTTTTGGCAGCCCCTGAAGGGCCCCCGTTGCATTAGTTGAACCTACTGGCTGGTGACCGACTGTGATTTGTCRTGTGTATGTGGGATAAATCATTTCCTTCTATCCAACTCACTTAGCTGTGAAATGCGGCGCGTCGAGAGCTGGGAAGGCTGCCTTTTTCTTTCCTTTTTTTTTTTTTTTTTTCCCCTTGAGCATGATCAGGCTGCCTGTGCATGCCATGAGGCTCCTTGCTCCCCAAAGGGAGGTCTGTCCTTTTTTCACTCTCCCTTGTGAAGTGCCAAAGTGTTGTGGGCTCTGCCTGCACCGCGCACCGTGGCGGCACCGGGAGGCTTTTTCCTGACATCCCAAGCACCAAATCCCTGCACGTTTGTGCCAAGGAGCGACCCAGTGCTATCTGACCAGGCTACTCCTAATCATCTACATGTGTCACGTTTGTTTCTATAACGGTTCACACCAGGGTTGTTTTATGCTGGCTGCTTCTGTGCACGCAGGAGAGATTTGCAGCGGGCCGGCCCTGTGTTCTTGCTAAGATTTAGCAAAGCTGTAATTCACGGAGCGCTTCGCCCGGCAGCCTGCGATGCTGAAGTGTGCTGTGTAATCAAGATTAAAAGGTTTAATGTGAACCCAAATATGTAGTGATTGCAGTGTAGGTGGGGTGAGGGAGCGTGCTCCTGCCTTGGAGTGAGAAAAGTTATTTCTGAGAAGGGGATCTTTTATCTTCGGTGTCAGCTTGGAAATTTAAACAATGCCAACAAACTGACATCTTCCCCCCCTTGTGACTAATCAGGTGTTGAGAGGCAACATGAAAGCGCCATCCTGCATTTTTTACATCCTTTCATGGTAAGCAGCAGAAATTGGCCTTAAATAGAAATGGGAAATTGGCTGGGTGCTGAGGAGAGATTTCTCAGATGCCTGACTGCTTCGGCTTTGCTCATGTGCTTGTGGTTAAATCTCTTGCTACATTTGTGCTCAGAAATGAATATCCCCCAGATTCAGACCATTACTGGTCTCCAGCACATAGGCAGGAAAGAGGAGTTTGCCCTTCTCTGCCGCAAGGAAGCATGGATAACGGATCAAAGAGCGTGTCCTTAGATCATCTGGAGATATTTGAGCAGTGTCTCCCACCACAGCTGGAGAATAAAGCGTTGCTAGTCTTGCCCTCTGGTGTCCTATTGTTGCCTCTTAGGGCTTGGTGCTTTACCGGGATAAAGTGTGGCTTGGTGTAAAGTACAAACAGAAAGCAGGGCTTGTATCTTGTATCCTGTTTTGTGGCATGTGTCAGGTGGGCGAGTGTTACTTCAGGTGTTTCTGCACACACTGCAGACAACACGGTTATCTGCAGCAGAAATGAGCTGGATCACAGGATCATAGAATCCCTAAGGTTGGAAGGGACCTCAGAGGTCATGTAGTCCAACCTGCCTGCACACGCAGGGATACCCAGAGCAGCGGGCTGCATCCAAGCGGGTTTTGAAGATCTCCAGAGAAGGAGACTCCACAACCTCCCTGGGCAGCCTGTTCCAGGGCTCTGTCACCCTCACAGGAAAGAAATTTTTCCTTAAGTTCCTGTGGAACTTTTGGTGCTTCAGTTTGTGGCCGTTTCCTCTAGTTCTATCAGTGGCCATTGATAGACTGCAGTGGATGGACTGCACTGGGAAGATCAAGTGAGGTGAATAATCCTGCTTCTCTTGAGACAGTCCTTGCTGCCGTTAGGAGGAACCCTCTGGATGTTCCTGCACGTGGTTGTGGGGTGCATGTGTTGTGGGTGAATACATCGTGGTGTATTCAGAGGTACAAGCACCAAGTGAATAGTACGGCACGTGAGTACAAGTGCAACAATAACTCATCTGTGCAAAAGAGCACGGGTGCCTCTGTTCTTCACAGTGCACACCCCAGAGCTGGCAGGTCCAAGAGAGCAAGGCAGGATGAATGTCCTTCAAGCAGACAAGGGAGCCTTGGGGCTTCGTGTTCTGGACAATTTGGAGCCAGGATGGGAACATGTTCCTGCTGCGGGRACTCGAGCTGCCTGCCTGGCAGTATCTGTGTTTCGATGGCTTCACCTGCACCCTGGCTCATGTTGGAGGCCCATCTAGCACATCCTACATTGCCCTTTTAGGAGGAGGCCATTGCTGGGTGGGTTCAGGTGTTTAAACATTTCTAAGCACATGCTATAGGACCGATGCCCTGCTCAAAATGAGCCCAGCCACTGAGGCTCTGATGGCTGAATAACCTTTCGGAATAACAAATCTTGGACTTTGAAGCCCTTGAGGTGCCTGAAGGGCCAAGGTCTGCCTTGTTCACCAAGTGATACTCTCTGACACGTGGGTTGTCCCTCCTCCCTCAACACTTGTGCCGGGGCAGGGACTGAGTCCTGCTTTGATAGCAGCAGGTTTCCGTGCGGCACTTGGCTACGCGGCGGTAGCCGGGGCGGCCGGGGCAGGACTGGGCAGCTCCGGTGCTGCCGGGCGCTGGGCGGCACCGCAGCTGCATCTGGGGAGGAAAACTGATGATGGAGAAATAACAAAATGATCGATTAGGGCCATAAATCCTTASTTTGATTTCATGTGTGCGGGTGTTAATTTCACAGCGCGGCATAGGGGTAATTTACTACACGGATTTATTAGTTCTCTGTCCTCTGAAGAAAACAATGAATTTTAATTCAAACCATTACATTATTTTTTAGTGTTCCACATATACTGAACAACCCCAATAAGCTTCTCTTCAGTCTTACGCAGATTATATTAAGAGATATTTTAACTAACATGCCAGCAGAGCAGATTCAGCTCTCATTCACTGCAATTCTGTTGAAGTTAATGCAACTACTGGAGGTTTATGGCCATGTGGATGAGAAATTTGGTCGCATGTTGCTTTGGTTTTTGCCAGCACCAGTTACTGTTTTAGCAAAGACAGACCCCAGGCACTGCCAAGGCACTGTCAGTGTGCTCCAGGTGTCCCTGATGGAGCAGGGGATTGGACTGGATGATCTCTAGAGGTCACTTCGAACTTCAACCATTCTGTGTTTGCATCTGTTCTGAAGCGAGATGCACTAGTGGCTTTAGAAACTTGATATCTAGGTCAGAACAGCTTTTCAGAGCGTGGATTCCTTGCTGCACTGTTCCATGCTGCACCTCGATTTATGAAGAGACTAGGTATTTTCTTGCTAAGTTAAGAAGTTAATATGTATATAAGGTAATGTGGGACTAGTAAGGGGCATGAATTAATAGATGTGAGCGCAAAAGAAGGAGTCTCTTCTCAGCGGGCTTTGTTTTTCTTTCTTTTGTACTTTGTGAAACAGCGGGCATGGGATCTGGCAGAACTGAGGGGAAATGGGTGTAAGTTGAAGCACAGGAAGTTCCATCTCCATGTGAGGAGGAA